CCCGAGCACCTGCCAGCGCCGTACAAGGCTCAGCAGCCACCTCGTTGAGGGCTTCATGAGAGCTGGCACCAGATAGATCCAGCGTCAATCGACGGGCGCGAGCCTTGCCCTTGAAAGCCGGCGCGGTAAGAGACTCGTCCGTAGGATGCGGTCCAGGTGAGCTAGCTGCAATCGGACTTTTCGCTAGTACCGAAAGGGGCGTCAGTCCTTCGCGCCACTCGAGAGATGTTCTTTGATGCGCGCTCTCTTTGCTGCATCTCAAAGATTCGCTACGTGGCGCTGCGGAGCTGGTGGCGCTTTCTGGAGCGCAGGACTTTCGGCGTTGCGGTTGCAACCAGAAGTGCTCTTCTGAGATGCTCACAGAGCTCCTATTCTCATCGAAAAGATCACCATTGCAGAGCCTTGTTTGTCGTAGCATTCGTTGCGCATACGAGCAGGGATCTGTGAGCAGAAAATGATCCGGCACAGCGAGTGACGAGGATACTGCTTCATCCTCGTGTGAGCGTCGCGCGGAGCATTCGCAGCTGTGAATTGAATCCGCGCTTGATCTCGGCCCAGCATCTTGGCAGCTCGTCGTGAGGGTCAAGGGGTTCGGACTGTGTCGCGAAGCATGCTCAGCCTCTAGCTCGCTGACGGGCTCGCGATATTCTGCGTCCAGCTCTACGGTAGGGCTCAAGGTCTGGACAGCTGCGCTGAAAAGCGCATCTATGACTGACGGGGTGGAAGACATACTAGAATGAGTCCTGACGTGGGCTGAATGTTCCACTGAAGGTATTCGATCAGTCGCTGACATCAACTGCAGACCTGCCGTAGTATTATGCGCGCTCGGTTCTTTGGACTTGTTGTCGGATGTCGAACTGCGAGTTTCGGTTCTCAAGAGTTCCACAATGTCCGATTGAGTTTTCAAGGAAGGCGCCGATGCTGGACCCGAGACTGATCGTTGCTCGACTGCGGAAGCGCGTGGCCGACTATCCGCCTGTTCAAATGTCGCCCAGCCGCTGGCAGCTGGGTCGAGTCCTTTTGCTGTGTGAGGCCTTCCGTCTATATTCACATGACGAGCAGGCTCACGACCAATGACGTGGAAGGAGGTCCCGAAGCGTTCTCGTGCATAGGGATTTGTCACGCCAATAAAGCGTATCTCCGCATCTGCCAGGTCGGTGGTCGATGTAAGCGATGTGCGCCCCCCCTTCTTGTCCTTGCGATGTAACCGACTGCTTGTCTCGGCTTCGGATGCCGTCCTGGGTCGGACGAGCCGGCCGGCTGAGGGACTCAAAACTCGAGAGCGAGGCACGTGCGTCAACGTTCCCTCTGTAGCACGGCGTTCGGTTTGACGCGCCAGATTAAGTTGATTCGGCACGCCAAGTCGAGGCTTTTGGGCCACCCCTTTGTTGTCTTCCTCCAAGACATTGCGCAGCGCTTGCGCACCGTGAGGTAGAGCAGTACCAGGTCGACGCTGGCTCACGTGCGGCCTGAAGGTCGTGTCTTGGGGTGGACTGCTACTTTTGCCTTCTACCCGTTTGTAGTAGCCTCCATCGCCCCAAGACCCTCTTGGCGTGCGCCAGTCATCGAAGTGTGATGGCTTGCCAAACGTTGCTATGCTACGCAACGAGGTTGGCGATGCTGGGGGCTTCAACATAACGCGCAAGCTCTTTGAACTACTGCTCGAGCTAAGCTTTGAGCGAAGGCTCTTCGCGCTTTCGATGTCCGAATGTGCGCTGTTCTCCGGATTTGCATTTGAGTCTTTTTGCTCCGAAGTGATCGGAGCGTTGAGATCGAAGACGGAGATGCGGTGATGGTCTGACATCTCTTTGGGGGGCGTGCTCAGCTTGACTGGATCGCCTAAACGAAGGGCACTGATCGAATGCGATACGAAGAAGTGAATGTGAGTGGTAAAGCACACGCGTAGCGCAAAGATGGCTTTTGAACTCACAAGAAATCCGATACTGCTCTTGACGTCGCCAGAGCGTCACCGCAAGTTTCGAACAGTCGTTGCCAGTAATCATCTAGCGCTCGTTTGAATGCCATCACCCGCTGCATCGACGAGTGGCCCGAGTCGGCAGAATCCAAAGTGGTCGCTGCAGTATTCATCAACGCAAAAGGCTCAACATGATCCTCCTTCCTCTTCGTAGGCGAGAAGAGTCGTTTGCGCAGGCTTCGAGTGGACTCAACATTGCTAGGCTTTACCAAGCCATCCTTCGCTTTGCTCTCAAGAAACGTCGCTAGTCGAGTGACGCTGGTGTGCTCTGGTCTTGTCAACAGCACCTCTAGAGAGGCATGCAGATGGGCGTCGAGTAGCTCCAGCTCTTTCCACGTCCTCCGCACCACGACTGGAGCATTGGCTTCGATCTGGTCTCTGTGCATACCGAGGAACGAGAGCGTCGAGATGCGCTTTTCCGACGGATCTGCTGGCAAAGACTGCCTAGATGCATCCGAGCCTGAAGTCAGGACGAGGAGATAGAATGCTGAGGATTTGCTCAGAGCATGCGTCTGCGTCGCCTGAGAATGCATGAAAGCGAGCTCGGCATTCAGTGCAAGGACCTTGTCGTCCCAGTCCGAAGCGATGCATATAGTCTTGATTGCCGTGATCAGCGGCTCGCCAGGTACTGCGAGAGCGCTCATCGAGCCCACAGATCGAGGTTGAATGCTAAGCGCTTGACTGCTTTTCAACGACTCGAAGCCGCACGATCGTTGATGCCTGAGCGCAGGGGGTGGAGTCTTTGAGATGCTGCCCAAATGCTTTTCAGATGTGGTGGACTTGCGCCTGGTTATGTCGGGGGTGGCACGCTCTTTGTCCACCGCAGGCAGCTTCGAAGTGGTGGTGGTGGTAGCATGATTGTCTCCCGCCACACGACCAGATGAGGTGGATGGCCTAGAGAGCTGACTGAAGCTTCCACGCTTTGCAGTGGACAACATCAAGGACTTGGTCTTTCCAAGGACCGAGTTGCCTTTTAAACTCTGACGCGATCGTGGAGATGACAAACTCGCGCTCAAACTCAGCGAGTTTGCGTCCTTGTCCGAAGTCGACGACATTGTGGACGCTGCAGAGGATGGTGCTGGAGCTTCGTCGAGGTAAGCGGCAGCACAGAGGTGCATTCCCGATGCGAAGGACCATATGCTGCCACTGAGCGGGGGCTTGTTGTTGTGCTGGCGTTGCTGCTTTTGGCGCATGGCCAAAGCGATGCTCGCCTGTATCTCGGGCGGGGGCTGATTGCTGCTCATCAGTGCCCGAAGACTCTTCGGGCTACTGGATGCCGATCGACCGCCGGCGGTGCCTGCTTGACTTTGCAGTTCATCCGTGCTGGATCCTGGGCGACGCCCCTTCGACTTGCGTGATGAGGCAGGCATGATTCGGATGTGGAGAAAGACCGAGCACGGTCAATCGCTTATTGTTACTTTGTGAACTGGCCCAATTCGTGATTGCGGCTGAAGGGAATCTGTAGATGAGTCACGATTCTTGATCGGTGATCGTAAGATCGCAACCTCAGCTAGCTTTGCGCGCTGCTTCCCAATCGCATTCAAGAGTTTGAAAAGCGTTTCAGGTCTGCCTGGTATAGCAGGCTGAGCTACCATGCATGCACCGCGTTGCTAGGCCGAAATTGTGGTGTCAGAGATTGCGAATTGTGGTGCCACTTTGTTTCACTAAAGAGACTTGCCGAT